TTGAAGTCCGAAGTCAACTGCCGATTTAAAGACTTTTTTGCCTTATGAGTATACGCTGCCCAGGGTACACCAAGTGGAGGTAAGTCTATTGCGCACTCCGGATCTGCATTTACCCAGGTCTTAATGCGTCTCTAATGCTATCAAGTTTAATAAATGGATTTCCTAAGGCCCTTAGGGGGAGTAATCATAACATATATCTTGATTGGAGATAAGCACTCTGCTATCGCTCTCCTTATTGGCTATAGTTCATCAAGGCAGTATGTCACTTATACCTCTGGATATTCACTGATGGCCATTGATTTTGCGACTTCTCACTAGTCAGAGGTTCGTTCCGGCCAGTGAAAGATTTGATTGAAATTGAGTTTCTCGTGAATCTACTCCAGAATACCTTCTCTCTGCCCGAGTAAGGTGCTCTGAATGCTTTTCTTAATTGATCTTGGAAGTTCGTTGGTTCATAAGTATACCAGTAAAGCCTCTTTCCAATTGCGAACACCCTCTTGGTCTTCAACGCATTGCCTTTCTGGTTTATTGGAGCAAGCCAAATGTCGCGGTGTTTATATATGTAACTGTGTAGTCCGTGCATGATTCACCTATCCAAAGTGCGTTGGCGGTAAATGACTATCTGCATTGTTTAACTTCGATTCTAGTTAAAGAAAAATTATATTTCTAACTCGGGGTGTGCGATAGACTTACCTCCGCGTGGTGCACCCTGGGCAAAGTATACTCATGCGACAATAAAGTCTATTAACTGGCAGTTGACTTTGGCTTCAAACTACCATCACCTATAAACTGGCAGTTGACTTCTGACTTCAAACTGCCATGATCCCACTGTATGTCATATTCGACTACTTCCACAGTACTCACATTATTAACTGGCAGTTAACTTCTCACTTCAAACTACCATCACCCTAAGCGGCAGTTGACTTCTCACTTCAAACTACCATCACCCGCACTGGCAGTTGACTTCTCACTTCAAACTACCATCACCCCTCACTGGCAGTTGCTTTCTGACTTCAAACTACCATCACCCCACCGTAAACCGGCAGTTGACTTCTGACTTCAAACTACTATGGTCCGACTATTATGTCATATTCGACTACTTCTACAGTACTCACCTCACCTCTTCTTCTACCTCTGTGTCTGTCTCTTTTACATATTTGAAACACTATTCTGTCCCCCCTCTTGAATTTTTTTCCTTTTGATATTTTTTCTCTGTGAGGCCTGAAGTCACCTAAAGGGCTAATGAAACTATCAAAATGCCTGCCATTTGATATAAATAAATATTTCTAACTCTCACCTAACTTAGATCTCATAAAATATATTGGCCGCCAATGAGTTTCGCACCCGTGAGAACTGGATGTACATATAGATGTGCACCCTGCACAATAGCATTATTGGGGTGTGTGTGTGTGTGCGTGCAGTTCTGCTACCGATGACCTCCTCATTTACTGTCAACACCAAAAGGGGTGCGAGGCTTATTGATGGGTCGTGTCTTCTAACGAGGACTAACAAGGACTAATACCACCACCACCCCGAGAATGAGTATTTGGATAGGTTATCGTTGGCCGCTGCTGTCTAACATTTTGACAGTTATTCCTGTGCTCATGGGCATAGAAGCCAATGTGAATGATCTCTTGCAAAATATATTCCATTTGTTATGCTATTTTCTCCACTTGGGCATGCTAGCCAGGCTAGGCAAATGAGTGAACAGTAAGACTGGCCAAGAATCGAAGCCGTTGCTGAGTTTAGACTACGTTCCGGACACGATTGCCTGGCAAAACGCCTTCACAGAATAGGAGTATACACTCAACCAACATGCCCCTTATGTAACCTACAGGAGGAAATGGAGAAGACCCACTCGATTCGGTGTCCAGCCCTAAAGACAAGGACGGAAAGCCAGAGATACTGGAAAGCAAGAAGATAACTAATGAGTTGCTATTAATTAACTGCTATATATGTACCCCCACCCTTGGGGGAAGCTGAAGTCAAAGTTTAAGGGCTAATGATAAATATCATAAATATTACGAATAACAACGCACTGAACATTCCCTGGTTCACAGGAAGTGGTAGAAGTGCTTATCATGTTTTGGGTAAAGTTTTGTCACGTAATTTTGGTATTACTTTCGCAATCGTATTGTAAATATTCACTTTCAACTCCCGGCTGTTGTTCTGTTTATGGTCGATGGGTTGCAGTTTTTGCATCAACCCTCCTCCCCCCCCTCCCCTCCTGTTATATGTGTTCAGTGTTTCCCCATAAGGTCATTTGCTTGACATGAATTTTAGGTTAAAGACGTCTGTTTAATTTCCGGGGCCTTTTTAAACAAAGTCTCACGAACACTTCGAATATTTGCCGATGAACAGGAGGACGTAGTAGCGACGCAACTTGTTGCTCCAGATTTGTCAATCAATTTTTTTCTGGACTACAATTTTTTGAAGGGATTCTTTCCTTTGACATTACAAACGATCCACTTATTATCAAAAGAGCGCTTTTGGCAGAATTTTCATTATTATTTTTATTGATTTTGTATTTTTTTTGGTGGCTCATTAGCATAAACATAGCATCGTAGTGCTGGAAATTAACCCAAAAGGAGGAATATGATTGGTGGTATCAAGTGGATTAAATTTATTTGCTTACGGGGCGAGGAAATGATTTTGGGTAAAGCACCTTGTTGACGCTTTCACTTTAACCCATTAAAATTGATTAAGTGTAGTGTCAAAAAGGTAGACTTTAGTTCTTTTTAACCCTTTAACGCCCTGCAAGACCGTTCGATCCTCTTTCAAAATGAAAAACCTCCATTTGGTACTTGACTCTCGTAGCAGAAGTGGCGCTATTGGCGTTTGAAACATGTTCAATACGTGTCTATAGCCGCCTTCGCCTGATGCACACCAAAGCTCATCACACCGGCGGCATCAGTCTGCTACTGTGAGACACACTCGTGAGTGCGGTGGGGGTGAATTTTTGGTAAAAACTTACTCGGGCAATAAAGGGCTAATTGTTTGTGAAAAGAAAGCATGTCTACTTTTAGCGCCATTGGGAATGAGAAAGATCGTGGAGAGGATTTCCTCATTAAAGAGTAAAATTTAGTATGGAATTTTGGTTAATTACTCAGCATTCTCATCATCTACGAATACTTTTGTGGAAATTTGTCATCAACTTTTTTTCCACCAAAAGAGCATAGCTTTACTATTTACTGGCGATCCTTTTTCTTCCAATTAGCGTTCTAGTCGTCATTGATTTGGCTAAAATTGAAATTGCCTTGAAGGCATTTAGAACTTATGCCCCAATTCGAATTGTTCTGGATTTGGACTATATTGAAGGACTTGGATCTTGGGCCTTTAAGGGTTAAATTTTAATGGCTCTCGTTCACTTCTGAACATTTTCTCTCGGAATGTGCGTGTAGGTATGTCCTATCTTTGACCTATGACCTGACGGAAGTTTCGCTTAAACGAGTTGATAAGAAAAAAAGCTCCTTTTGTATTAAAATTTACCCATAATTCAATTTTCCTTTGTCTGTTAAAGTGCCTTGCACTTTCGTTTAGCATTCGATGTTTACTTTCTACCCAATTTTGATTTCTATTGGTCGGCGTCACACTGCTTAAAAGTACCTTCTCCGCCATTTAATCTTATCCAATTGAAGTGTGGTAAATACACATTTGACTCATAGCTCACAGGAGTTGGTCCTTATTCTGGTCATATATTACTATTAGGCAATTCGATGCCTGGCTGGTCTCTTTGCTCACCGATGTTAATCTATTTCAGACTAGGTGGGGTGTGCGATAGGCTTATCTCCACGTGGTGCACCCTGGGCAACGTATACTCATACGGCTCCACGTGGTGCACCCTGGGCAACGTATACTCATAAGGCACCACGTGGTGCACCCTGGGCAACGTGTACTCATACGGCAAGTAAGTCTATCACGTGGTGCACCCTGGGCAACGTATACTCATACGGCAAACAAACTGGTGCACCCTGGGCAACGTATACACGGCAAAAGAGTCCGGGTGCACCCTGGGCAACGTATACTCATACAGCAAAAATCCTCCACGTGGTGCACCCTGGCCAACGTATAATCATACGGTCTTACCTCCACGTGGCGCACCCTGGGCAATGTATACTACACCTTACCTCCACGTGGTGCACCCTGGGCAACGTATTCTCATTCGGCTTACCTCCGTGGTGCACCCTGGGCAATGTATATTTAGACTTACCTCCACGTGGTGCACCCTGGGCACCGTATACTCATACGGCAAAAAAGTCTATTAACCGGCAGTTGTTGCGATAGACTTACCTCCACGCGGTGCACCCTGGGCAACCCACTCATACGGCAAAAAAGTCTATTAACCGGCAGTTGACTTATCACTTCTCATACGGCAAAAAAGTCTATTAATCGGCAGTTGACATCTTGACTTCTGACTTCAAACTACCATGACCCCACTGTATGTTACAAAGTATACTCATACGGCAAAAAGTCTATAAACCGGCAGTGGACTTCTGACTTCAAACTACCCTCACCCCACTATATGTCACAACTTCTCACTTCAAACTACCATCACCCCACTGTATGTCATTGTGTATGCGCATACGGCAAAAAAGTCTATAAACCGGCAGTTGATCTAACCCTAACACGGCAAAAAGTCTATAAACCGGCAGTTGACCTCTGACTTCAAACTACCATGACCCCACTGTATGTCATATTTGGGCAACAGACCTCATACGGCAAAAAGTCTATAAACCGCTGGGCAACGTATACTCATACGGCAAAAAAGTCTATTAACTAGTGAGATGGGTGTGCGATAGACTTACCTCCACGTGGTGCACTATGGGCAACGTATACTCATACGGCAAAAAAGTCTATTAACCTGCAGTTGACTTCTGACTTCAAACTACCACGACCCCCAAACAGTTGACTTCTGACTTCAAACTACTATCACCCCACCGTATGTCAAATTCGACTACTTCCACAGTACTCACCTCACCTTCTTTTCTAGATTTGTGTCTGTCTCCTTTACATCTTTGGAACTCTTCTGTTCCCCCCCCCCCTCAAATTGTTTCACTTTGATGTTCCTTCCCCTCTGTGAAGCCTGAAGTCAACTAAAGGACTAATGATAACTATCATAACGCCTGCCATTTGACATGAATAGATTTTAGGCTAGGTGTACGATTACGTTTTTACAAATTTGTAATTCACTAGGAGAGTTTGTTGACAGCGATATCACTTGAGTAACAACGCTCTTGTCTACAATATCAATAATTGAATAGCTATTATTTCAATTCACGCATGTGTGTGTGTCCAGGTTACCTCATTTCAAAGTTATAGTAAATTTTGATTGGATTTCGCGGCGTATCCAGAAATTGTGAGCGTGGCTGCTCGATGTAGTGTTTGCTGTTCTTTTATGCGCCACTCCATTACTTTAATGAAAATGTGGTTTTTTTCTCGGTGTTAGCCTTATCCAAATGGTTGGGGGTGGGGGGGGGGGTTAGAATAGCTGTATTTAATTTAACTAGACTATATGTTACCTAATTGGAATATACTTTTTGCTCCTCGACTTGCAATCAGTCAACTTCCGATTCTAATGTACTTTAAAACCGGAAGCCACACAACTATCATTTACCAACGCTTTCTTTATATATCTTATAGGAAAAAAAATTTCCCCTTTGTTATAGGCTCAGCCATCCTATTGCGGTTTCTCAGCCATGGTGATGGTGCTGAATTCCTTTGAGCTGGATCCGGGTCGTGTATGGAAGGCGCCTTGGAGATGGTACCACGAAGATATGCTCACCTGCTGTCTCACTGAAGAGGACTCGTTTAAGGACGGCATCACTATTGATCAATTCCAGTCGATTGCCAAGTGCAATGGTCTCAATGTGAGTTGGAATTTTCGTGATAGTGGCCATAGTTTTTGGCCATTCGCGAGTATATCGTTCCTATCATCTAATTTAACTGATTCATATTACCTCGCAATTTTAACAAATCGTTGACCGTGTAGGAGGACTAAACCAGCCCTTTAGTTGACTTCAGGCTTCTCAGAGAGAGAGAGGAACATCAAAGTTACAGAATTGGAGAGGGGGGAACAGAAGAGTGAGTCACAGATGCAAAAGAGACAGGCAGACACAAAGGTGGAGAGTAGGGTAAGGTGTAAACTGTGGAAGTGATGGAATACGGCCTACAGTGAGGTCATAGTAGTTGGAAGTCAGAAGTCAACTGCCGGTTTATACACTATTTTGGCGTATGAGTATACGTGGAGGTAGGTCTATAGCGCACCCCTTGTAATAATATGACTTACGTTATACTGTACAAAGCTCGACTTTACTTGTAACAAGTTTTCACAGTAACAATGAGAACCTTTGTTTTTATTCCATTTCTTCCGGCTGGGATATAGTCTTTTTTCGATCATAAAAACGTTTTTACATTGCTTCTAGGTCACTGCAATTCTACTGACGTCTTAGGTACGTTTACCTCAATTTGGAGGCTATTCAAATGCACCTCCCCCTCTCTAACAAGTCGTTGCTAAAGAGATAAACTTGCGCCCACCAACGCATCCTCCAAGTTGATTTGTTTTCCTTTTGGTTCAGTTATACATGTTGCGGAGTTTTTAACATCGTATTCCCTTGTGATTTGAGCTCTAATCTTTGTTCAACTGTGTGCCATCCCTTACTATCAGCTATTCCCAAGAATATCTTAATATCAATAGAGAGAAGTCACAGTTGACCTCACCGCAGATGTGGGTGGGAGGTTGGGGGACTTGAATTAATCCGGTCTTTAATTTGAATAACAAAATGCTGAAATGGCCTTGAAAATGCCCTTTATTTTAGGAAATATGCCTAAGCACGAATTTCTACCTATTCATCATTCGGTTCTTCATTGCTTATCTGCAGGGTATAGTTTACGAAGGTCGATTTATTGATGCTCTCGCCAAATTTACCGCATCATTTGCGCTGGAGGGCAGCAAGAGGCCTTTTTGCGATTAAACCAGAAAACTGTTGCTTTTTTCCCAACCAACTTCTCTATTTTCATTAT